AAATCAATGTAATAATTTCAACAAGAGAAATGACACATGGACGGCTGCTCTAGTCACAGCTGCCTGGGTCTCTGGGCAAAGTGAGGTTAAGTGTCTTGCCCAAGGACACAACGACAGCAGTCATCAGTGGGAGTTGTGAAGTAGGTCTTGTGATGGGCTTGAACCCACGACCTTCAGGCCCAGCTCTACCAACTGAGCCACCATCGCCCCAGTGGTTTTACCCTATATTTATACTTATATGGAATGACTCAAAATGATATGAGTTTAATTCTAAATCCTTTTGGGAGCTACCGGGAAGGGGCTGGCGAGCTACTGGTAGCTCCCGAGCCACAGGTTGGAGACCCCTGGTATAAAACGTATTCTTCAATCATTCACATTTTTGTTTACAGCTCAAAAACCTTCATTCCAAATCCAATCCAATCCAATCCAATCCACTTTATTTATATAGCACATTTAAACAACAGTTACGTTTCCAAAGTGCTGCACAAAAAAGTATAAAATAAATAACAACTTCGCTTTTATACTTGGCTTCACCAAGTATAAAAGAATAAAAATATATAAAACAGATTAAAACCATAAATAGAAATAAAATAAAAACACAGAGGACCACACAACTCACGCAGTGTTAAAAGCCAAACAGTAAAAGTGAAAAGTAAAATCCACACATATCCTCTTTTTAATGCCAATTTAAAGCCATACCGTGGAACATTCTAGGCAAGACAAAACCCTTTAGGACCCAACCGAAAAGCACCATGAGGGGAGGGATAGCGTTAGCTCACTACGGGACAAAATAAAACAATTACTGAGAGCGTTGTGTGTCCTGTGTTAGCCTGACCTGTGCTGGAGCCATCGAACCCAGTCCTGGTGCCCCTCGGCCGGGCTCCACTCACCAGCAGAGCCTCCTGGTTCTCAGCCAGCGCCTGTTTGGAAAGGTACCTCTCCCGCTTCATCTTCAACTCCAAAGACTCGGGGACGTCCGGGACAATCCAGTCGATGGCCCGCAGCACGAAGAAGACCACATGCTACGGGACAAGATCACGACAAATGTGTTTTTATTCCGTTCTACTGTAAATGTTCTGCTCTGTAATGTGTAAAAAGAGACTGAGTTAAACTTAAAGGTCTATAGGAGGATTTTCGACTTCCGGGTGGGTCATCAAGACAAGCTAGCAGGTTAGCATTGAGCTAGCGGGTTAGCATGTCCCTCATACTGTATCTTTCTGTGACATGTATTTGGCTAATCCAGTCACGTCGGCTTCACTCACATCAGCAGGATCCCCCAGGGACAGTGACTCAGGCCTGAACTCTTCTGTCTCTGGTCTCTCTGGTGTCTCTCTAGTCTCTCTCTGGTGTCTCTCTGGTGTCTCTCTGGTGTCTCTCTGGTCTCTCTATAGTCTCTCTCTGGTCTCTCTCTCTGGTCTCTCTCTGGTCTCTCTCTGGTCTCTCTCTGGCCTCTAGTCTCTCTCTGGTCTCTCTCCGGTCTATCTCCGGTCTCTCTCTGCTCTCTCTCTGGTCTCTCTCTGCTCTCTTTCCGGTCTCTCTCTGGTCTCTCTCTGTTCTCTCTCTGCTCTCTTTCCGGTCTCTCTCTGGTCTCTCTCTGCTCTCTTTCCGGTCTCTCTCTGGTCTCCCTCCGGTCTCTCTCTGCTCTCTTTCCGGTCTCTCTCTGCTCTCTTTCTGGTCTCTCTGTGGTCTCTTTCCGGTCTCTCTCTGGTCTCTCTCTGGTCTCTCTCTGGTCTCTCTCTGGTCTCTCTCTGGTCTCTCTCTGGTCTCTCTCTGGTCTCTCTCTGGTCTCTCTCCGGTCTCTCTCTGGTCTCTCTCTGGTCTCTCTCTGGTCTCTGGTCTCTCTCTTTCCGGTCTCTCTCTGGTCTCCCTCCGGTCTCTCTCTGGTCTCTCTCCGGTCTCCCTCTCTGCTCTCTTTCCGGTCTCTCTCTGCTCTCTTTCCGGTCTCTCTCTGGTCTCTCTCTGGTCTCTCTCTGGTCTCTGGTCTCTCTCTTTCCGGTCTCTCCCTGGTCTCCCTCCGGTCTCTCTCTGGTCTCTCTCCGATCTCCCTCTCTGCTCTCTTTCCGGTCTCTCTCTGCTCTCTTTCCGGTCTCTTTCCGGTCTCTCTCTGGTCTCTCTCTGGTCTCTCTCTGGTCTCTCTCTGGTCTCTCTCTGGTCTCTCTCTCTGCTCTCTTTCCGGTCTCTCTCTGGTCTCTCTCTGCTCTCTTTCCGGTCTCTCTCTGGTCTCCCTCCGGTCTCTCTCTGGTCTCTCTCCGATCTCCCTCTCTGCTCTCTTTCCGGTCTCTCTCTGCTCTCTTTCCGGTCTCTTTCCGGTCTCTCTCTGGTCTCTCTCTGGTCTCTCTCTGGTCTCTCTCTGCTCTCTTTCCGGTCTCTCTCTGGTCTCTCTCTGCTCTCTTTCCGGTCTCTCTCTGGTCTCTCTCTGCTCTCTTTCCGGTCTCTCTCTGGTCTCTCTCTGCTCTCTTTCCGGTCTCTCTCCGGTCTCTCTCACATCATCAAAGGCTCAGGCTGAAGTGTCTCTGTAACTGATTGAATAAACTAATTTTCTAAAAGCCGAGGGCCGGACTGGTTTAAAGTTTATTAAAACATATTTGTTTTAATAAACACCTTCTCCACTTTTTTGTTCAAAAAGTGGAGAAGGTGGTTCTTTCCTAAAATGTGAGAAAATCCTCTTATAATCCTTTAACTCATTCAGTTATCATTTAGTGAATCGTAAAGGTACATCCTGCAAAGACACTGTGTGTATTGTCGCACCTCAAAAGCAATGATAAATCCCAGTCTGACCGCCAGCAGCTCCCAGAAGAACAACGTGTAGCTGCCATTATTATCTCTAAAGGCTTTATATCTGCAATTTAAGAGTGGAAAAAGTCTGTGATGTCCCAAAGAATTGCCAAAAAACAAAACACAGTCAGAGTCGAACCTGCACAGAGGATACTCAGTGTAGTTCAGTGGAGCATAAGCCAAAGAAAAGTTCACATATCCTCGAAGATCGACGCCAAACTTGAACTGATAAAGAAGACGAGGCAAGAAATCTGAGGTGAAAGCGATGAGGAAAGCCTGCGGAGAGAAGAGGCGCGTCAGGAGGGTCGGCAATAGATCATGTACGGAATCGGGACGAAACCGGAAGTAACAATCAAATTAGTTTTAGACTTATAAGTCCATAACTGGTGACTGGTTAAGTTTTAGGCGTCTGAGTAAGATGGTTAAGGTTAGGGTTAAGGTGGGTCTGAGTAAGATGGTTAAGGTTAGGGTTAAGGTGGGTCTGAGTAAGATGGTTAAGGTTAGGGTTAAGGTGGGTCTGAGTAAGATGGTTAAGGTTAGGGTTAAGGTGGTCTGAGTAAGATGGTTAAGGTTAGGGTTAAGGTGGTCTGAGTAAGATGGTTAAGGTTAGTGTTAAGGTGGTCTGAGTAAGATGGTTAAGGTTAGTGTTAAGGTGGTCTGAGTAAGATGGTTTACGGTGGTCTGAGTAAGATGGTTAAGGTGGTCCGAGTAAGATTGTTAAGGTTAGGGTTAAGGTGGTCTGAGTAAGATGGTTAAGGTTAGGGTTAAGGTGGTCTGAGTAAGATGGTTAAGGTTAGGGTTAAGGTGGTCTGAGTAAGATGGTTAAGGTTAGGGTTAAGGTGGGTCTGAGTAAGATGGTTAAGGTTAGGGTTAAGGTGGTCTGAGTAAGATGGTTAAGGTTAGGGTTAAGGTGGTCTGAGTAAGATGGTTAAGGTTAGGGTTAAGGTGGTCTGAGTAAGATGGTTAAGGTTAGGGTTAAGGTGGTCTGAGTAAGATGGTTAAGGTTAGGGTTAAGGTGGGTCTGAGTAAGATGGTTAAGGTTAGGGTTAAGGTGGTCTGAGTAAGATGGTTGAGGTTAGGGTTAAGGTGGTCTGAGTAAGATGGTTAAGGTTAGGGTTAAGGTGGTCTGAGTAAGATGGTTAAGGTTAGGGTTAAGGTGGTCTGAGTAAGATGGTTAAGGTTAGGGTTAAGGTGGTCTGAGTAAGATGGTTAAGGTTAGGGTTAAGGTGGGTCTGTGTAAGATGGTTAAGGTTAGGGTTAAGGTGGGTCTGAGTAAGATGGTTAAGGTTAGGGTTAAGGTGGTCTGAGTAAGATGGTTAAGGTTAGGGTTAAGGTGGGTCTGTGTAAGATGGTTAAGGTTAGAGTTAAGGTGGGTCTGAGTAAGATGGTTAAGGTTAGGGTTAAGGTGGGTCTGTGTAAGATGGTTAAGGTTAGAGTTAAGGTGGGTCTGAGTACGATTGTTAAGGTTAGGGTAGTCTGAGTAAGATGGTTAAGGTTAGGGTTAAGGTGGGTCTGAGTAAGATGGTTAAGGTTAGTGTTAAGGTGATCTGAGTAAGATGGTTAAGGTTAGGGTTAAGGTGGTCTGAGTAAGATGGTTAAGGTTAGGGTTAAGGTGGGTCTGTGTAAGATGGTTAAGGTTAGGGTTAAGGTGGGTCTGAGTAAGATGGTTAAGGTTAGGGTTAAGGTGGTCTGAGTAAGATGGTTAAGGTTAGGGTTAAGGTGGGTCTGTGTAAGATTGGTTAAGGTTAGAGTTAAGGTGGGTCTGAGTAAGATGGTTAAGGTTAGGGTTAAGGTGGGTCTGAGTAAGATGGTTAAGGTTAGGGTTAAGGTGGTCTGAGTAAGATGGTTAAGGTTAGGGTTAAGGTGGTCTGAGTAAGATGGTTAAGGTTAGGGTTAAGGTGGTCTGAGTAAGATGGTTAAGGTTAGGGTTAAGGTGGTCTGAGTAAGATGGTTAAGGTTAGGGTTAAGGTGGTCTGAGTAAGATGGTTAAGGTTAGGGTTAAGGTGGGTCTGTGTAAGATGGTTAAGGTTAGGGTTAAGGTGGGTCTGAGTAAGATGGTTAAGGTTAGGGTTAAGGTGGGTCTGTGTAAGATGGTTAAGGTTAGGGTTAAGGTGGGTCTGTGTATATCGCTTCTATTTGCGTCTATAATTTTTGTTGTTGGAATTCTTTAGTTCTGTTGAATTCTAGACTTCTTAATAAAGTTTGTTTATTTACCATTTGGAAGGTAAACTAAGACATGAACTTATAACAAGATTTTAGATTAGACCAAAGTTTATAGAGAGAGAGTGTGTGTCTGTGTGTGTGTCTATATCTGTGTCTGTGTGTGTGTGTCTGTGTCTTTGTGTGTGTGTCTATGTCTGTGTTTGTGTGTGTGTGTGTGCTGCGTGTGTGTCTGTGTGTTTCTATGTCTGTGTTTGTGTGTGTCTATGTCTGTGTTTGTGTGTGTCTGTGTGTGTGTCTGTGTCTTTGTCTGTGTGTGTGTCTGTGTCTTTGTCTGTGTGTGTGTGTGTGTCTTTGTCTGTGTGTGTGTGTGTGTGTCTGTGTCTTTGTCTGTGTGTGTGTCTATGTTTGTGTTTGTGTGTCTGTGTGTGTGTGTGTCTATGTCTGTGTTTGTGTGTGTCTGTGTGTGCCTGCGTTTGTGTCTGTGTGTGTCTATGTCTGTGTGTGTCTGTGTGTGTGTGTGTCTTTGTCTGTGCGTGTGTGTGTCTGTGTGTGTGTCTATGTCTGTGTCTGCTGTGTGTGTGTCTGTGTGTGTCTATGTGTGTGTCTGTGTGTGTGTCTATGTGTGTGTGTCTGTGTGTCTGTGTGTGTGTCTATGTGTGTCTATGTGTGTGTGTCTGTGTGTGTGTCTATGTGTGTGTCTATGTGTGTGTGTCTGTGTGTGTGTCTGTGTGTGTGTGTGTGTGTCTGTGTGTGTGTCTATGTGTGTCTATGTGTGTGTGTCTGTGTGTGTGTCTGTGTGTGTGTGTGTCTATGTGTGTGTGTCTGTTGTGTGTGTCTGTGTGTGTGTGTGTCTGTGTGTGTGTGTGTGTGTGTGTGTGGACAAAGACATAGAGACAAAGCAGTGAAGGATCAAAGTGCAGGACTCGAGTTATGACGGACATTTGCAACTCAGGAGTGGGTAAAAGTTTACACGATCATAAAAGTTAAACTATATCAATTGTTTTAAAATGTCCGAGGTGATTGTGTAACTCTACCCGGGCTATAAGGAGTGTGTGTTTGCATGGGTGTGTGTGTGTGTGTGTGTGTGGCAGTTGCCGTGCTGTTGTGTGTGTTACAATAGATCCAGAGGACGTTGTTCCCACAGAAGCCGGGGCTGACATCATAAAAAAACACACACAACAAGGTATACCTCCAGGGGCCTGATGGGCGGGGTGGGGGGGCAGGGGTAGGTGAGGAGGTGAGGAGGAGGAGGGAGGCCCGGGCGGGGGGGGGGGGGGGTAGGTTTCGACCAAGCTACAATTGGTCAATGGCGGCATGCGGGACACACCTGTAAGCGCCGGAGGCTAAGGACATTGGCTGCGAGATGAAAATTACACCTGTGGGGGGGGGGGGGGGCGGGTTCGGGGGGGGGGGGGGGGGTCGGACTACATGTAAACAAGCCCTTTACAAATTCAGCCTCTGTCTTCTGGAGGAGCTTAAGCGGGAACCAGCAGCGGAAGGAGGCAGAAAACAAGTTGCGTGGGTTCGCGTCGGAAAAAGCCGTGACGCGCTTTTTTCCGAAAACCGGTCGGGGCTGTTCCCGGGGCTTGGCTCGGCTTCGTGGCTAAACCTGCGACGGGACGACCTTAATTTTTTTTTTTTCTTCTGGTTTTTTCTTCCTCCACGCCACTTCAGAGGTCGACTGTCCTTCAGCACGAGCAGGAAAAGAGAACGGACGCGCACAATGATGCCTCTTGTCTCGGACGCACCTGCGAAACGGACTGGGTAAAGTCTCATGTGATTTCTTCTGTGTTTTTCATCTTTAAAGAATCAAATCCACGTCTCAACCTGTTGCTTGAATAGATACATGGACTTTTATTTTTATTTTTTTACACACCGCAAGATACAGGAAATGTTCAGCGGCAAATTAGGTCACGAAGCCCGTTGGCGATTGTTTTGTGATATAGGAAGGGCCCGGCTAGTTTTCGATGGGAAAAGAGAACATAGTGTGTGTATCAGATTCCAACTCTATTTAAGCGGAGAGAAAAGACGCAGGGAGACATTAGAAGTCACGCTCATTCCTAAACGGACGGACCAGTCGGGGCAGGTAAACGCAATACGGCCAGACATAGTCAGCGGAGATGAAGAGATGGCGGTTTGTGAGTAAAAAAAGGGGATTCTCAACACTAGAGCTTTTACTTAATGGTTAGGCATTAGCCGCGCCGTGCTAAGTCAGAACCATAGACCCGCTTTTTATCTACAACCAGCTGCTTCTTCGGCCGATTGTACTGACTTTCTATTTCCAAGCTAGTACTTGTATCCGGACTTTACTGACTTACTCTCTACAGCGTTTGTTCTATTATTTCTGGGGATAAAAGAAATGGAGATTAAAGAGAGTTTCCAGCGTCTGAAATCTGGCTGCAAGTTGAGACAGATTTGGATTCATCTGTTTTCTGAGAGAGAATACAGTGTCCTTGTACCACGCTCCAAGCTTGACTTCAAAGTTTAAGGAGAGGGCAAAGTGGGGGGAAAATGTCGCCTTGAGCGTCTACTGTTCAGAGCTGAGTCCAGACTGAGGTGGAGGGCTGTGATTGGTGGACAGGAAACATTTGTTCTTTTCTTCCACACACTTGAAAAGCAGTCTCCAGAACACTGCCTTTTCTAGAGTGGTATTTCCTGCACACGAACAATTTAACCCAAATAATAATCTCTATAATAAACTTCTCATTAGTTCATCAGGTCCCTTGGGGGTTAGCTTTGAGGCTAGTAAAGCTATTCATACAGCAACGGTATCATAGCAACAGCGGATATGCTAAGCTAGTTCATTATTATCTTATTTGAGTAGGCAAGAACAACACAAATACATTATATAGCAACAATATTTTCAGCTAAATTAGTGTCAAATATGTAGAAAATTGTGTCTTTTTCGTAACCAAATTAAACCCTGCGTTTTATTCATTTATTTAAAATTATTCAAAACCGAAAGATGACAAAACAAATGACCAGTAAAAACCAAATAGGGCGAGGAGGAGGAGGAGGAGGAGGGGGCGGGTCATAAAAAATCAGGTTTCTTTGTCTGATAATCGGAGCATTGTTATGACGTGTGACCAGCTCCTGATTCCAGTTGGTGGCCC